ACAAATAGTCTACCAAAGGTTTTATCATATTTTCCACTTCTTTAATGTTGTCTCTGTATAATGGTTTTTTAAATCCTTTACCAAAGGGGTTACGGGTATTAAGAAAGTCAAATATTCTATCTATTACCCTAATAAATTGTTCAGTAGCTTCACCTATAGTCAATTAAAATAACTGTACTTATACTGAATTACTGATTATAATTAAAACTTACTGTTTTTAAATGTAGATTCTTCTAACAACCTAAGGAATTGTATTGCATCAGCAGTTGACGAGCTTAAGGTCTGTGCGGCCATTTTCACCTTCATTATGTTTTTCCGCCAATCAATATGAGCTGATGTTAATTTATTAGCCAAGTGCAACCCTATGTTCTCTTGGGCTATATCAATGAAGTACAGAATCATTATTATACTATATTTTATATAATAAGATATTTGTGAAATGAAGTAAATCTAATCTTTTAATATACCTTTATTAAGATCTTGGATAAATGTCCAATCAATTATGCCATTAACACTTTTAAATTTTCGGTAAGTACCAAGGGCATTTCTTGCTAATTTAATATTGTGGCATGCGTCTGGTATATAATAAATCTAAATAAAATAAAAATAAATAAATTATACAGTTTTTATTATAGATAGTTTTTACCTTCCGATCTATGCCAGGAATATAAAAATATTCTACTAACTCATCATATGACCCATGATGTTTACATCCAAGATGTGTCATAGTGGATAAGTTAGTGGTGCCATCACATGTTACACCCCAAACTCGAACACCAACATTATTTGCCATTGTAATTGCGGTTGTTACAAGACCAGCTTGTATCACTGCAGTACTTTTAGATTGTAAAAAGTAACCAATCGGATGTTTCCACTTTCCATTTAATCCAACTAACATAAAAACTAATGCTTCTGTAGCTGGGGTCTCCTGTGCTTCAGCTTGAATACCTCCAAAATCACAATAACCCAGAAATTTATCTTCACTACCATCATACAAGATTTTTTTTCTTATACACATCGAATCAAAAACTAAATTACAATCCTTGTCACTGTGTGGAATGCATTTCATATATTCAAATACTTCATTGAAGAAACCTGGATTAGCATTGACAGAAGAAGTCCAGTTGCTAATGGACGATGCATGTGGTAGGCTTAATATAGTTCTGTAATAGGTAGCAGTGATATATTTTTATTAGTGATATATTTGAATACATAATATAAATATAACATAAAAACATAACACATCAAATAAATTTCAAAAAAGAAAATTTCACACAAATAACTAATAATAGTGTTTAATTACCGGCAAAAATTATAAGCTTTAGGAGAATAATAATGCAACGTCAAAGCAAATTGTTTCATCTCATTGGAATAGCGACCACCAGTTCCTTTATTACTATTTTTAAGCTCATTATTAAATAATTCTAATACAGATCCTGGCAGAGGAAGCATTCCAATAGCAAGAATAAAGCATTAAAGCATTATAAAAACAGCAAAACGTTTATTTATTATTAAAAATTCTTACCACTAAAATGATTTTCAATTAATCTTCCATGTTCACCATCAATTAAACCTTTATTGCGTAAATCATCTAAGAGAACTTTTAAATTATTAATTGTTTTTTCTTTCCTCCTAAGCTTTTGTTTTAAAATTTTTATTTTATTTTTTAACTTGGTTTCACCGGTAAAACTATTTACAGTTTGTACTTCTACATCTTTTGTAGACTGTGTCTCATTAATTAAAATATCATCTGGTTCAGGACCATTATCTAAAAAAAATTATTAAAACCTAATAAAAAAAATAAAATACCTAATGATAAAATTTAAAACAGTTGTAATACCGTCAATAACTAGTGTAGTATCATTATTAACTGGTCTAGGAATTTTCGTCAGAGGATTTATTCTGTGTTTTTTTTTAACTTTTTGGTAGTATGGTGGAAATGATGGAAACACTGATGGAGTAGCATCCAATCTTAATAATGGTCTACTTGCACCTGGGCGTATTTTAAAGTCTTCATTAGTAAAATGATCACTGCAAATTCTACTGTGCTGTGATGGTTGAAATTTTTTCTTTTTATAGCTTCAATCCACTTCTTCATCAACTCCTCATTGGAATGTGGAAATCTTATTTATAATAAATAATAATTTAAACAAAATACAGTAAGTTTATGGTTGTAATATAATATGAATATAATACTAGTATTTTTTAATTGCTAATTTTGTTTTAAATAGGTAGGACACTTACCGGAAAAAAATGTGTTGACTGTCCAGCTGAAGCTCTATTTTGACAGCCATACACAACACACGAATGAGGCATATTTAAGTATTAATTAGGAGTACATTTTAAAATCGAATTTCACATGTTTGAATTGTATTTAGGTTAATGCAAAAATATTTTGACCCCCGAAAAAATGGAGTCTACATCGACGGTGAGCTTCACCTGATAACGGGAGTTCGCTATCTAGTTAGTATAGATATCTGTGACTGGTAACGCGTTATACATCAACAAAAACCGTGATACTATCATAGATATATAATAGTACACTTTAGAAGTTTCAAGTACCCACGAATAATATTATTCAATCACAACAAAATAACTAAAATAGTTATTCTAGGTTTTTTAATATGTAATTTCGTCCAAATTTGAATTTAAAATGTCTGTAAAAAATAAGTGTGTTAATATATTTTTTTAGATTTTTTGGTTACAGTATGAACTATTTTCGAGAACCTTTGTGTTGAATTTGCAATCCTTAGCTATAAAAACTGAACATTTTATAATTTATTAATTACAATGATTGATAATTTTCGAGATTTTGATAAATTTTGTCAAAATTTGATCTTTAAATGCTTATAAAAAAAAACTGTGCCAATGTATTTTTAATATTTTTCAACTGCTATTGTAACAATATATCAGGAGCCTTGTATTAAATTTTTACACTTTTTGGCCCAACAGATAAAACTTTATTGATATTTATAGAAAAAAAAACTAAAAAAAATTGAAAGCTGTAAATGTCCATAAACAGCTCAAAAAGAGTCAAAATATTTTCAAAATTGTATGGTGTATAGAAAATGCTAATTTAAACATTCAGTGAAATTTTCATGTATCTACAGTTGTTCGTTTTTGAATTGCAACAAAATAAAGAAATCGCTACATGAGTAATCGAGTGAATATCCAATGTTGTAAAAATTTGAATTTCAAACGCTCATAAAAATTTAATTTGACTGTCCGGTAGAGATTTTTTTATTGATAAAGGTAGATAATCTTATATGGAATCTTGTGTTTCATTTTCAAATCTTAGATTTAAAAAGAAAAATTTTTACGAATTCTTAACTCAAAATAATTTGCTAATTTTCGTGATTTTTGAACTTTAAATGCTTATAAAAAAAATTGTGACTAAGGATTTTTAATATTTTTCATCTGCCTTTGAAACAATATATTAGGAGCCTTCTATTAAATTTTCAAGCTTTTACAAATAAATTTTAATTGATATTTTTAGAAAAAAAACTAAAAAAAAAATGGAAAATGAAAATGTCCCTAAACAGTTCAAAATAAATCAAAATATTTTGAAAATGTTATCGTGTATAGAAAATGCAAATATAAACAACCAGTGAAAATTTCATGTATATACGTTAATTTGTTTTAGAGTTACACCAAAAACCAAAATCGATTTTTTGGAAAACCAATTTTGCGTAAAAATTCCCGTTTTTCCTTAATTTTTATGTTGTTTTTCCCGGCGCTTGTGAAAACTACTGGGAAATTTATACTTTTGACCCCCCAAAGTACCAACTAGATTCACTTTCCTATCAGAAAAGCTACTGATGAAGAAAATCCAAGCACTTTTACTGTCCTAAAACGTGATGACAGACACAAAAAATAATAAAAATAAAAAAAAAACACACATCATTGTAAAACCAATACATTCATCGCTCCGCTCAGAATCTAAAATATTGTAAATTGTAAAGTATATAATATATTGTACAAGTATCTTTAAGTTGAAGGTTTTTGTATTTTTGTTTTGTGGTTTGTTGCATAATTGGTTATATTATACAGACACACAAGTAAGATTTTAGATTTTTTAAAACTTCATAATACAGGCATAAGCGTAAATAGTGTTTGAAATTTGGGGGGGGGGCTGTAGCTTAGGTCTATACTTGATACTCTATGATGTTTTTAACTTATAATGGTGAAATCATTAGTTTTTGAGGGGGCTATAGAAAATTTAGGGTTGCTAAGCCCCCCCCCAGCCACCCACCTATTTACGCCTATGGATACAGGACTACGAGTTCAATATTTTTACAAATACTGAACTGAATTTCTTACTTACATTTAAATATCAAGCAAATGTAGTTTCATATACACTTGTATTTATTTGCCAATTTTATTTTGGGTACACACAAGTAAGATTTTAGATGTCTAAATACTTGTTTTAAATAAGTATATAATTAGATTTTATTATTTTGTATATATATACTCTGTTCAAAATAAGATCGTGACCCGGCGGCCGAGTTGTGCGCATGGGCGTGGCTTTGTTCCGTGGCTGCGCCCGACGCGTCGCTGTAGTGGGGACGGCATCTGGCCATATGTCTGACCGCCGCCCGACGAAAACTGGTCGCCGCCGGGTCACGATCTTATTTTGAACAGAGTATAGAGCACAAATAATTTGTATTTATTGGACAAATAGGTGCTTAAGTACAAAATAAAAAATCATTATTTGCAACAAATCAGTTATTATATTTTATTGAATATATATATATATTGTTGACAATATTCTTTTAGATATTTTTAGATATATAAATTAAAAGGCCGTAGATTCACAATAGATGATAAAATATTAGCACTTTCAATATTCAAACAAAGCCCAAAAGGTTACAGATATTTATCTTCAATTTGTTCTCTACCATTTCAAAAAACAATATTAACATTATTAAAAAATGTCCCCTTTACACCTGGTATAAATCCTCATATTATTCAACATTTAAAAAATCAAATGGAAAATCTTAATGCTTAAGCCTCTGGAAAGAAAATGTTCACTATTATTTGATGAAATGGCGTTAGAGGCAAATTTATATTTTGATAAATCTAATGACTGTATTTTTGGGTATGAAGCCTTTGGCTGTAATAACAGAAATATTAAATTTGCTGATCATGTTTTGGTGTTTATGGTCCGTGGTACAAAGAAGAAATTTAAACAACCAATTTGTTATTACTTTGTCCAAGGGACAACTCCAACAGCAGTTTTAGTGCAGTGTTTCAAAGAAGTATTAACTAACTTGGCTTCTACAGGACTAGATGTTGTGACCACAGTGTCAGATCAAGGGGCCACAAATGTAGCAGCAATCAATTATTTGACTGAGCCGCAGCCCGCCGATAACACCGCTGTGGTGCTGCCTAACAGTGGCGCCGAACTACTTTTTAGTAGGTGGTGCAAACACAAATTTTAACCACCCACCCACCCCTACCTAGACACCCACAAAAATTTTATTTTCAATTAGGTTCAAAGTCAACATTTCCAATAAAACTTTGACGCGGACACGATGATTGCTTCAAAGTTGATCGTGGTCCGGTCGAAGTGTTTGGTTAGGATTGAGGTGATGAAATAAACACAACACAAACACTTTAAGAATGTCACAAATTATGTTATAAATTTTATAAAGAAAATAAAACGTGCGTTGGTATGTTGGTCATTCTAAATCAATTTTTTCTACATAAATATAAAAAAATATTTAGAAAAGTTCTATGTCGATGTAATTTTCAAAGTCAAGAACATAAAAAAACATTTAATCATCCAGTGTAGCTTCGTTTGCGATAAGTTTAAGCAGTGAAAGTTTAAAAAAGCAGGTAGGTGGATGTCGCTCTGCTGTACAGTAGATTACAAGTGGGTCAATGTATAATGGATTGTATTAAACTTGAATTCAATGATATAATATCATTGTATAAGAAAAACGATTCTGAACGGAGACGGTTTGTCAGTCTGTATATTTTATATTGTCATTAATTATTTTATTTATTTAATTATTATTTTTTTATTCGTTGCTACGGTGATAAACAAATTGTTAGAAATTAAAATCCCATTTTAAGCGGTTTTTCGTAATTTTTCAGTACTTTTTCCAGTGGCATTAAATAACTATTGAGAAAATCGAAAAATGACCTCTCTAAAGTACCATCTTGGTCCAATTTGCTAAAAGATAAGGTACTATATGTTGAAATCAAAGCACTCCTTCTGGTAGAAATTTTGTATACAGGATATAAAAAAAATTTAAAAAATTTAAAAAAAAACACCATTGTAAAACCACTAGCTTCCTTGCTCCGCTCAGAATCTAAAAGTATTTTTTACAACACTGGTTATAGCTAGGTATAATAAATATATATCTAGTCAATGGTAATATTTACACATATTTACAAATACAAATATTTACACATATTTCAAAACTAAAATTAACAAAGTGAATAACATAAAAATCGAATAATAATATCTTAAGAGGACCTTTTTTTTTTAGAAAACAATTTGTACCTTTCAAAAGCATTGATTTTAATTTTATCCGATTCATTTTTATTTACATTTATTTTGCCAGATAAAATTCTATTGATTTGCGTACACCAATTATGTACCATTAATTTTACCACAAAATTAACAAATTTTTGTGGAAAAATTAATTTATGGTCAGGACATGTTATGTATTTTACATCAACTTTTTCTTCAATAATATTAATCAACTCTTTTTTCAAATTTTTATGATGGCATATATTAGGTAAATTATGAGAAATAATATTAATTACTTTTTGCACCAACATACAAAATTTAGAATTCGGATATTTCAGTAGATAATTACCATTATGTTTATAGTCTCTAGCCTGAATTAATTGATGGTCATTTGACAGTTTTGAACAAATTTCATTTAGACATAAACGGCAGTTTTTAAACAAGACAGAATTCAACTTTTTTACAATATATCCTGCTATATAGTTCTGGGTTTGACTTCCTAATAATGTTAAACTATAATCATTGTCTACAAACTATTTTGGCAAAACATCAGCGACTCGTTCTTCGATTTCATGTTCGATAGTATTTGCTTCACAGTTTGTATACATTTCAAATAATGTTTGGTAAGAAGTCAAACAGCCACCTGAGAAATCTTCTTCGCAGTTACTACCTGGAGAATGTGCTGACATTAGGTTGTTGAGGAGTAAGGTCTTGTATGCTGAGGCAAACATTTCGCATGTCGGATTATTATTTCTATATCCCAAAGCCCGTATTGCACCGAATAAATTCTCCAAAGCATCTTGGTTCAAATGCCTTGGCAACAATACCTTAATACCGTTGTCATTCAATGTTTTGAATATATTTTGAAAACCTATTTTGGATTAATAAATAATTAGGTAAATAATTCACTTACTAAAAAAAGTTAAACTTACTTCTAATAGTTTTAATCCAATTCTTTAATGTAGGTGGTTGTGGAGTACATGGTTTGTTAGTAGAAGGATTCACAAATTTCATGGTACTCAAAACTTTCAAAGACTCTTCCCACAATTTGTGATAAGGAGAATTTTTTTTTACTCCTGTTCTATAAATCTTTCCATCAACTACTTTATCAAAGTTTCCATTAACTGAGTCGAATAATTTGTCAAAAAATAAACAAAATTTTGCAGTGTCTCCAGCTGTATCTCCAAGAATATTTTGAGCTGTAAAATAGGTTTAATAAAACAAAATTATATATTATGTTAATTAGTTTTATTTTGATGTTACTCACTTGCTAAGAATGCCATAATGGATGAAACTCGTTGGCTAAACACTTGAGCAGCATTTCTAACTTTCATTTTCGGAATTTCTGTAGGTATGACATGTTGTCTAGTCAACCTAGGCAACATTTTAACATCTTCTATGTTGCTGTCCAATTCATATAGCTTCAATATATCACTCCATTGAGCTAATTTTTCACCATCAACATTAAATATTACATTTTTTGTTAACAAATTGTTACGGATTCCTTTCAAAAGGTGTGGTGTATCATACAAGTGAAAAATTTTAACTACATCAGATTCACATTCTATTTCATAGAAATCACCATAGAATGATTCATTCTTCCTTAAATAACGTGCTTTGGTGTCGTTCATAAGAATATTAATAGCTGCTGTATTGGTCGCTCCTTGATCACAAATGCTTGATATTATATTCAATCCAGTTAAGTGTACCGCTCGAACTACCTCTCGAATTTGATTAGCTAAATCATATCTATTTGTTGTACTTTTACAAAATGAATAACAAATAGGTTGTTTGAAGTTTTTGACAATTCCACGTACCATAAACACTAAGCCATGATCAGCAAATTTTTGAGTTTGTGTTGACCCATTGTCTTCAAAACCATAAATTCTTCCCTCACTATTATTAAAATTCAAATTTGGATTTATACTAACTTCGTCAAAAACAATTGAGCAAAACCTGTGTTGAGGTTTAAGTTTTTGAACATTAATTTTTAGTACGTTCAGCATTCTCTGATCTATCCCAGTACTTATTGGGATTAATGACATCATTGTAGAAAGTGTTCGTTTACAAGGCAGAACAAACATCTTACACAGCAATCTATATGATTTTGGACTTTGCTTATACAAGGACAAACTTAATAATTTTTCGTCTAATGTAAAACGACGTCCTTTTGGTTTGTTCTTTGTTTCTCTTAGTTGTAATTTTGTAAAAATTTTGGCAGCAGTAGTCATCTGGTCTGAATCATGTGTATTAAAAAAATTGCTAGCACTTTTCAAACGTTCTTTAAAAGTGTTACATTTTCGACGTTCACGATGCAGGAGTTTTTGAAGTTTCAAACCATCTGTGTATAGAGATTTACATTTTGGTGTAAGTCTGGAGGTTCGGTTTATACCAATTTTGTGCAAGAGACCTAAAGCAAATTATAATTTTAAATTAACATGTACCTAATAAAATAAATTATTAACATTTATATTAACCAGGTTTATAAGAGCCAGATTTTAAGCAAGCAGCGCTGCCACTAGTACAAGCAATTTCTGAATTAGGAACACTACCATTATCTGTAGATAAGTGAAAAATGAACAAATTAATTAAAGATAAATGAGAAACCCAAGACTTGCTGTTGGTTGCAAAAAGTATAATATAACAGGGTTGCTACTCATTTTTTTCTTGTGAATAAAGTAATAGTTATATATGACCTGTTTACGTGGAACCTTCTTTTACATTTTCAAGCATTAGCAATAAAAATTTTACATTTTATACATTTTTACTTACTTATTTTTTCATACTTTTAGGCTCCTGATATCTCCTCAATATATATTGTTACTATAGCAGTTGAAAGATATTAAAAATACATTGTTATACATTTTTTTTATAAGCATTTAAAGTTCAAATTTTAACTAAATTTATCAAGTTTAAAATTTAATAATTATTTTGTAGTTAATGAGCTTTATAAAAGTGAGGTATCAGTGAAATAAGTGCAAAAAAAGTAAAAATAGCGATAAATAGTGAGTGCGTAGCAACCCTGATATAAGCTCATGCATTGCAAGCATTATTAAATTGCAATTTTTTATAAGACTTTTTCATAGTAGGTACATACAAATCAGGTCAACGGTAGAGCATTGAATATTATGCTCAGTTACATTGATAGATTCATTCAGTTCCTCTATGCCAGAAATATTTAAATTTGTGGACATGCAGCTGGTATGAAATGGTTTGGGCATAACAGTATCAGCTAAAAAAGAAATTTAATTAACAGATTTTAACTAAATTTAAATAGAAATGTATTTCTTACTTGCACTTTGATTGGCCATATGGAGATGTGGCAAATGTGGTATGGGCATAACAGTATCAGCTAAAAAAGAAATTTAATTAACAGATTTTAACTAAATTTAAATAGAAATGTATTTCTTACTTGCACTTTGATTGGCCATATGGAGATGTGGCAAATGTGGTATGGGCATAACAGTATCAGCTAAAAAAGAAATTTAATTAACAGATTTTAACTAAATTTAAATAGAAATGTATTTCTTACTTGCACTTTGATTGGCCATATGGAGATGTGGCAAATGTGGTATGGGCATAACAGTATCAGCTAAAAAAGAAATTTAATTAACAGATTTTAACTAAATTTAAATAGAAATGTATTTCTTACTTGCACTTTGATTGGTCATATGGAGATGTGGGAATGCATTGCGATTTATGACTTTTGTACCAGGGCTGAAATTCTCTTTACTAAAATGATTTGAACATACTCTGCGCTTTTCATAAATCACAGAATACTCCATATCTTTGAAATCATCATTCCCTATAACTTCCATCCATTTTTGAAACATCAACAAATTTTTTTGGGGGTTGGGAAATCTATGTGATGTTCCACCTACATTCATGTATTATAAAATAAAATATTTAAGTACTTAGTTTGAGCAAAAGATTATTCATTATAATACTAAATACATTTAAAGTTATGTCATAGGTACTAAGTTTCTGGAGTACCTATGATGTGCTGTTCATTTTCATTTTAATAATATCATTGATTATAAGTATTATTAGTATTTATAATCAATGGCACTAGGTAAACAGGTACTATCAGAAATACTAGAACAGGTAATATAATAAATAGTTATTAATATATTATATACCTAGTAATAATCAGTGTTCGGATTGGATAAGTATTTTTTTTTTATCTAGATAAAGGTAAAGATAATGCATAAATAAATAATAAATGGGAAATAACCAGCTAATAATACAATCGTTATTTGTACATGCTATTAAATACCTATAACTTTACAAATAATTTTAAAAACCACATTATTTATACACCATAAACTTTGTATGAGTTTCTGAATAAAAATTTAAAAATGCGTTTGAACAATTTCGTGATTTTTATCAATAAAAAATATATCTAAATGAATTTATTTAGATTAGTAAAAAAATGATGTAAGATAAACGTTTAGATACCTCGTAACTATTTATCTAAATAAGTCAGAACACTGGTAATGATGTACCTAATATTAATAGTACCTACTGGATTGTGTGCACAGAACTCAGATAAAATACCTACATTTTACAATAGAATATACGAAATCAAAGTTAGTAATAAATTAAAAACACTTACCCTTATACGAGCAACCTTTTACACAACATTTGTATGCTGCACGACCCATCATCAAGATTGTTTTGAAAATTAAAACAAATTACAATACAAAATAATTCACCAAATCACGGTAATTTGCAAATCGGGAGAAAACTGAAAATACGATGGAACATGGAACATGGAAATTACAAAATTGTGCACTTGTGCAGTTGTGCCAGACGTGACCACGTGAGACACCGGTGTTGGCCGTCGGCGGCGGCGGCAGCAACTTAAGCGCTCCTCGTGGCTGGTGAATCGTACTATTATCAATGTTCAAAATTATGCTATAGAGTTGCCTTAGCCTGGCAACTGGTTCTGAACCGCGACAGAGACTGATTGGTGGTCGGTGTTGACCGCCATGACCAAACTGTCCCTGTCGGTTGTCTCGGTGCTCGCCGGATGCTTTACGTATACAGAATGACCTATAATGCGGGGGTGTGCGAAGTTGGTGTGCTTGCGCCCCCATCACCTTTGCAGGTGAACACCCGTGGCTCTGTTACCTTTGTCCCTACACCTGCGGCTGCCCCATAAGCCGTTGATGTTGACCACACGTGTCACCGGTGAGGTGAGTGTGGTGGGTGGTGGGGTGGTGTAGGTTTGGGATTTAAGAGTGGGTGCCGATAGGTGGTGTGTTGACGGAAAAATTCGTAGTTGGTTTTTCGTCGTTACGAATTACCGAACTACGTGCGCGATGATGGCATAATTTTTCTCCGTCCGTACTACCGAAAATATGGTATGATGGGTGACGAGAGGTGGGTCGTGGGTGGAGATATTATCCGACACGAAGTCAAAACGCCTGCTATGCGTCGAAGCACGCTGAACGTAAATGTTATATGTAGCCGGATATGTGTACCTACGGAAAGTGTCGCGCGTTCGCCGGACGATAACACCTACCTACTCCGATTCGGATAGGCCAGTATTAACGTGCGGGGCGCGAGCTGGTTTTAAATCAGCACAAATTCCGTAAGTGATTGTGTGGACGTTTTAGTGTCTACGCGCTTGCGTGAGTAACGACTCGGTGTTGGCTAAAAACCGGACAGGGTGCTCGGCCCTTGTTCCGCGTAGAACTCGGTATTAACACCGATCGTACCTGCGCGCGTGCGGCGTATGACGGGTAGCGCGACGCGCTTCCCGTTTGACCAGAGTGGTCGTTGAAAAAGGTCGTTCTATTAAGGTGGCAATGTAACTGACACCCGGCTGGGCGCTGACTACGTTGTACCTACTCGAACGACCTACCCGACTGGTAACCATCGTGTGTGCGAGTGGTAACGTGTACGGGTGACGGGTGGTTGATAGGCCACGGGATCTCAAAATTGTGTGGCTGCTGCACGCTGTTGGCTGTTCCGTGAAGAACTTCGCCATGCTAGCTTACAGCGCCAGCCAACGTGACTCGAACGTTTTCGTTTCGGTCGATTGGTGTAACGATTACGTCGATATTTTTTTTTTTTTTTTTGATTCCGAGGCGGCTTTGAAAAGTTTGTCGTTCTATACGTGCGCGGTCCCTGCCTGATTTGTGGTCGACTGGAGCTTGGACTGTTGTGTACCGGCTGGCCGTCCGTGGATATTTACATAGCCCTAAAGCTAGCAATGTTGTCCCCGGACGGTGGCCTATACCAATCGCTAGCGTCAGTGTCTTCCAAAATTGGTGGTGTGTGGGGGTACGTACACGCGCGAAGACGCGAGTATTGAACGACTATTATCAAATAATTTACGCCGACGTAAACAATGGTCAGCTGTTGACGGCCGCCGATGTGTTCCAAATATAGCGAAACTGGGTCACGGAATCGACGGCGGCGGCGGCGGCGGTGACGACGACTGGTTTTGACGTCGCGGCCTGCGCGCTGCGCTGTTATCGGCAATAAAGTCGCGGACGAAAGGTGAGCGCCGGGAGGTGTGGCATTACGTTATGTAACTGCTTCCCATTCCGTATCACGGTTATTTTCGATCGCGCGGATTTCCCCTACGTAGCAGAGTTATACCTAATGGTTAATACCTATTACGTAATCCTAACTTGGGTAGATTGGAAATCCTAGCTAACCGGAAAAAACACACTCCTGGTTAAATATCTCAATACTAAATGATATAAGCAAATAATCCGAGGTATGTGTCAACGTGAAAAACTCTTACCTTTTCGCTGACCGGACTAATTCCTCTGCGGGGAGCCATTTGACGCGGACACGATGATTGCTTCAAAGTTGATCGTGGTCCGGTCGAAGTGTTTGGTTAGGATTGAGGTGATGAAATAAACACAACACAAACACTTTAAGAATGTCACAAATTATGTATTATAATATTGCGACCAAAATATAACAATACATGACGTGCCGCTCGGGCAGATGAGTTTAACGTCGGACGATATGTTATCGGTCCGACGGTCCGATGGTGGATCTCGAATCGACTTTTCCGCCGACCGTTGTACGTCTTACGCGACACAGTCCCCCCGTCCCACCTTGCCGTTACCGACTCGGTGGGAGAGTCAACCCGGTCGCGCTGCTTGCATCCCGTGGTGGTGGTTGGAGATAAGATAGACTGGTCGCTATAGTGCTTGTACATTGTACTTTCTACTAACGCGGGCCGCGTCAACTTTAATAAAATATTGTTTTATACATAAATCAATACATTTATGATCTATCTATAAAATACATGTATATTATGTAGGTATATAATTAATTTTTACATTTTAAGTTTTAACCAATAAGTTTTTTGCTTAGTACTGAACTACATTTTGCAAATACATCAACCACTTCATTATTATCTATGTGCACATCGGACTCACATGATATTATTAACAATGACTCTAGACGATCTTGTTTCATAGTGCTCCTTAACCGATTTTTGATAATTTTTAATTTTGAAAAAGTTCTTTCAGTGGTTACACTACATACTGGTAATGTACAAGCAATACGAAGGGCCATGAATAATGTAGGGAATACACTATGAAGCCCAGCTGAGTAGCATATTTTAAGTAATGTTAATAAGCTTCCTGTATTTTTAACATCTTGTTGTGTATGATCATTGTTTATTTCTTCGTCTGATGTTGAAATCTCCACATTACTTTCAATGTCAGAAGTGTTTATATTGGAAGTAAACGGATAAATTTTTTTTGGTAGTTTAGTTATTTTTTCAAAGTCAGAATACAAATTTGCGAACTGAATGTATTCATTACACAACTCATTCCGATCTATGAACTGTTGATACAAATTACAAAATGTGGAGAACACATCCGCAGGTAGTTTTCCGTTTTTAACTTGATTTAAACGATTTTTTGAGAAGAATGATATATCTCTTAAAAGATTTTGTGCAGTTGAGTGAAATCGGTTTTCTATAGCCATTATTGCTGCGTCGAGAGCACCAAAATAAGTATCAATTTTAAATTTCATCTTAGGGTCTACTACTGGTTCATCACTAGAATTTTCATCAAAATTTTTTTTTTTAGTTCTACTTCTAGTTATGGCCAAGTGAGTGAATTAAAATTCATTGGCACGATCACTCATAAAAGAATTGGATTCTTTGAATATTTCTTCAAATATTTTGTCACATCTTATTTGTTTTAACGAAGTGTGGACATTTTGTATATTATTTATGGCACTCAGCAAATCGATATCAATAGCCTGAAGCATACGAGTAAGCGGATCAATTAAATTAAATATTTTCTTAAAACATAATGCCGTAAGTATAAACCGATGAGATAATAAAAAATCAATTAAACCTGATGCTTTAGCTCCAATCTTAAAATCTACTCTACTTTCTTCACTTACTATATACTCCAATGTCTCAATAACAGCGTTGTATGTAAGTAAAACATTATTTAAAGCTGAGGAATATGACATCCATCTTGTGGTTTCAACTCGCTTTAAACGGCGAACATTCTGATTGGGATAATGTTTTTTTTTGTGATTTTTCAAAAAAAGCAATTCTCTTTTTACTACTTGATATAAAACTGTACAAAGATTCTAAGTTTCCAAATGTATCAACTGCATTGGAAGAAGTACTTGCCATTTGTATAACTATAAGGTTTAATTTATGGGAATAGCACCAGATATAAATGGCCGAAGGATTTTGCTGAAGAACCAATGCTTGCAGACCTTCGTACTCTCCTCGCATGTTACTAGCACCATCATAACTCTGAAAAATTAAGTGTAGTTTCCAGTTTAATTCTCTTTCATTACAAACATCTTTAAAGATTTCAAACAATCTTTGACCAGTAGTAAGAGAAGATTCTTTTAATGCAATCAACCGTTCTTGAATTTCTGGGATTTTATTAGAAAAACTAACATACCGTACAACAAAAGCTAGTTGCTCTCTTTTAGATGAGTCGAATGTTGTATCAATAGAGACACTAAAATACTTAGCATCAATAATTTCTTTTTTAATAGACTTGTTGATAATAGTTGAAACTGAATCTATTAATTGATTTTGCCGTTCCCAGGACAAAAAGTTTGTTTCACTTCGACCGTTTGACTGTAATCTTTCTAAATAAATAGCCAAAGATGGTGACCATTTACTTAATAGAATGACTAAATCATTAAAATTACCTCGAATATTTTCATTGAAGCCTTCTCTATGCCCACGGAATGCTAAAGAATGTCTGCTAAGATACAGTGTAACCTCTATAAGATGATGAACTATTTCTCTGTTAAATTCTACTTCTATTTTTCTTTTTGCAGTAAGTACTGGTAACACAGGCATGGATAACAATTTCATTTTGACAATAACAGTTGCATTGATGTGTGGAGTAGTCTTCTCATGTAAACTGATGTCTTTAGGTCTTTGCCACGCATGAAAGCCATCGTACGTCCAAGCTTTCTGTGAATTCTTACCAAAAAACATACAATATATACAAAAAACTCTATCTAATAAAATAGAATAACTCAACCAATCTCTACAGAAACGTTCTCCGTTAATAGGTTCATTCCAGTAAAATTTCGACAAAAAACGTCGACCATTTGATTTAGGAAAATTTGTGTCAATTTCTGTAGGTTCACAAGGGCCTCTTTGAATAATATTCATTTTCTCTTCGGGCGATAATTTCAAATTTCGAAGAATTCCTGGATCAATAGATAAATGTTCAGCACTAATTGCAGAGTCAATATAGTTTTGAGATAAGTGAATTGGTACTAAAAAAACAAAATAAAAAATATTGATTTAAAATTAAATCATCATGCATTTAAAATAAGATTAAATTTTTATCTAAATAAACAAAAGTGTAATTTACCAATAGATGAAGTTTGAACTGTTGACGCAGGTAATAGTTCAAAATTATTTGATTTTTCCTTACAGACAGTCTCTTTTTCTTCAACGTTTGAATTTAAGTCTTCTTCTTAAATTATATAAATTACATATGGGTGTATAAATATTTAATATATATATAGGTAAGAACTAAAATAATACATTGTACCTAACTAGGTAACTAGGTAGGTACAATTAAAAATAAATATTAATTGAATTTGCTGAATTGGGATGAAGGCGAGGCTAAAGAAGCTCTTTTCATATTCATATAATCATATAAATTAAATAGGTATGTGTGTATAATGTCTATGATGAATGTTATGGATGTAATAACAAAAATAACTTAAAATCTTAAACTTACCTGAGTTAGAAATTTTAGAATGAGAAGTAGATGCTATTTCTAAGTTGGTTGATGGGGTATTTATGCTGTATGTACTGTCTGTACATCGATTTCCATAAATGCAGCTATCGTTTGATTTGGTGCCATCATTTATGGCATTATGGGACTGAACTACAAAAAATTAAATATCTAATTAAATAATACGTCTAGTAGGTACCTAAGACTGGTACAAATATTTAATTGGTATCTATACAAATTATAACAAATAAATAAAAAGTCATCTAATTTGCATACCCAATTTATTAAATATATTATATTTTTAACAAAATTAAGCAAATCGCTTAAAAAAAAAAAGTACTTACCTTTTTTTGGCGAACCTTGAATTTCTTCCGATACATCACTTCCACGTTTTTTTGAATAAAAGTTTGACAAGTCATTTACAATATTATTTTTTTTTAGTTTTGAAATACTACAAGACTCTTGGTGTCTTTTCCAATTCGTAAAATTTAATTTTAATCTTTTTTACCCGCAAAGGCATACAGTCGAATCATTATTTGACATTTCAAAAAACAGAATATGAAATGCGTTGAATGTTCACTCGATTTTGAAGAAATTCAGGTTTTATTTCTTCTGCTTTGCTCAAGACAAGTGGAATATTGTTTTTGTAAATAGCGAGTAGCGAGTTAACAAGAAACGTACGAAATTCAACAATCGACAATTATAGTCAATAACTCAATACGACATATTATTATGTTCGTATAGTTAATAATAACCATAGACCTTATACTAATAGACGGAAAATCCAGGCGGGATGCGGGTGGGTGGTGCGGTCTGTGCTACAGTGATATATATATATATGTTACGGTCAATGACGAAAATGATGATATTTACGTTAAAGCCCGGCCAATGACGAAAATGATCTTGTACAATACAAATTTACGTAAGTGACCGGTCATTTACGTAAATGGCGACACATAATGGTTAATGTTGTAAACACGGGTATTATTTTATTATTCACGTCAATTCCCAACTCCTGCTGGACGTTGTTGTAAATTATACATTTAAACATTTATAACATCCAGGTCACTGTCAGTTATCTATCCAGACACGTTTCTACGTTAGTATGTAATGTTATATAACAGATTGGTTATCGTTATCTAACAAATTATCAAAGGTAGGTAATTTATTTTATTGGATTTTTTCCCCATAACGTATATTTTAACTATTTCAGTATCGTTTCAGACATCGCATTCGTTTGACATCGCTTGATTCGCAGTTCACCAGTTCGACATTTCGCTGTTCGCCAGTTCACGTGTTATTGCATTTTAAAATATTTATATAAATAATTATTCTTTTTTTACGTAAAATTTTAAATATTAAAATATGGATGTAGATACTATGCGTAGTAAATTCAACGATTTATTTAATAAGTTGATTAGTCAAAAACGGACTGACAATAATTCTTATTTTAGTTTATCGGAGTATAGTGAGCAAATTTCCAAAGTTAAAGAGTCGAAAAAAATATTAAGTACTAAGGGATTGAAAAAATCGGTAAAAGATTACAGGATGGTTCGTAAGTATGAAATATTAATGGTTAATGGAAAAGAACGCTTGATAAAACCAATACCAGAAAATAATAATACTATGCTTTATTATGTATCAAATGAAGAGCTTTTTGATATTCTTCATACTACTCATTCGTCTATTGGACATGGTGGGAGAAATCGAATGGTTGCGGAAATAAAAAATAAGTATTGTAATGTAACTAAGGAATCAATTATGCTATATTTACAACTTTGTTCACATTGTCAAAAGAAATCTACTAATAGAAAAAGAGGACTGGTTTCCAAACCGATATTACACAATGCTTGTAACTCAAGAGCACAAGTAGATTTAATAGATATGCAGTCCCAACATTTTAACGATTTTCGGTTTATTTTTTGTTATCAAGACCATTTAACCAAATTCGTAATTTTAAGGCCTTTAAAAAGTAAACGTGCAGAGGAGATTGCATATAATTTACTTGACATTTATACGACCTTTGGCGCACCAGCTATTTTGCAGTCAGATAATGGCCGTGAATTCGTAAATTCGACTATAACTGAACTGCACAATATGTGGGAAGACGTCAAAATTGTTCATGGTAAACCGAGGCACAGCCAGAGCCAAGGTTCTGTGGAACGAGCAAATAGAGATGTAGAGGATATGTTGGCTACGTGGATGGCAGAAAACAATAGTACGGATTGGCCCTCTGGTTTGAAATTTATTCAGTTTCAGAAAAACCGAGCTCTTCATTCAGGTAAAAAAAAGTATTTAGTATAATTAAAATAATATAAAATGATTAATATTAAGTGCGTACCAGACTACCAGCGATCACGATTCACGATATTATAGATTGGGATATTATTATAAAATATTAAATTTAAACTATTTCAGTATTATACATTACATAATATAATACATTTTATATTTTATACTATTACCTACTTATATAGATTATTTAGTATTTACAGTTTAGATTAATTAATAATAAACTATTATCAACTACCTATAGTTATTATAATATTGGTAGTAGTTACAAATAATCCTATATAATATTATTATCTATTTATCTATTATTAAAAACATCAATGTGTATTATTGTGCAAAAAAGTATTAGGGCCCTATAATTGTTCCAGGCTCAACTATGGTTTTTTTATGGTAGTTATAAAAATACTTTTTTACTTCTTTTAAGGTATTGGAAGATCTCCTTATGAAGCCATGTTTGGCTGTACTGCCAGAACAGGACTATTATCGATTGGTCTACCAAATGATGAAATAAATTCATTAAGAACAGAAGAAGATGTAGAAGAATTGTTAAAGCAAATGCAAGAAACTGGATTACACGATTCAAAACAAAATATTGAAGAAGTTATTTCACCGATTTCAGAACAGCAAGAAAATATGATGGATACAGGTTAATTAATATAATATTTAAAATTTAAAATTTTATTAAAATAACATACCTATAATTTAAACATATTAGATACAAACCTAAGAAAATGTGAAAGATGTTTTATTTTCCTGGAAGCAGACAATGAAAGTACAAATTGCATGAATTGCCAACGTCATGAGCAAATACAGAATGAACGACATAAATCAAGTGAATGCTTAAAGAAACAAGCCAAAAAAATGATGACTATTTCAAATAAGAAATTTACTCCGCTAGAAGTTGGTACCACAGTTAAAGTTTCAATACCCGATGTTGATCGAGCACGTGGATCGCCACGAAACCTATTAGCAGTTATTACCCAGGTTGAAGATGATTTATATAAATTAGGTACTTATAAAATTATAATTAAATTATTTAGATATATTCATTTGAATTTATAAATGCTTATATTTAATTAGGTACAGAGAACGGCATTATTAAACATTTGTATACTCGATCGCAGATCGATCCCTGCAAAGAATGTTTCGTTGATTTGGTATCTGTAAATACCGAAAAAGAAATTACATTGAGAGAAGCTGCAGGATTTAGTAGTGTCACTGGATCGCAAGGTTACAAAAGGTGTAATTGCAAACTAAAGTGCAGAACAAACAAATGCATTTGTCGATTAGCGGGAATATTATGTAATTCAAAATGTCACAACAGCATGCCTTGTGAAAATAAATAATTAATAATAAATATAATGTATAATTAATAATAAAAAAAAAATTATAATATAAATATTAATAACTGTAGTATTTTTAGTCATTTACGTAATTGACTAACAGTCAATGGTTAATAATGTTAATATTCGGTCATTGAGGTAAATATGATTTATTTTGTTTTGTAATTTACAACAATAATCTATTATCTTGGAAACTGACGTTATTGCCCGGTAGTTTACGAAAATAACCTAGCAACTTGGCTTCTAACGTTAATGACCGGTTAATAACGTAAATGTTCAGTTTTCGTCATTGACCGTAACATATATATTATGTACAGTAATATACAGAGTATTGTATCATCTAGTGCGCATGTTCGGTGTACGGTGTAGTGGCGGTGTACTACCTTGATCAACGCCGAATATTAATAGTTTTAATTTGTAAACATTAGTATGCATTATTAGTAATATTTATTACACTTTGTTTCTACTTTCTACAATTACATGGCCATCAATTATTAAAGTATTAACAAGTTCGTATTAAGTAGGTACTTACTGGCTACTATGAGTCGCAAGCCGCAACGACTATTTTTAAATCGCAACCGTCGATCGCGTGTTGGAAACCACACTCGCAATTATAAATAGCACCAGTCGGACTGCGTGAGTCGTTGCGGCCAGCCGCTGCGGCTAGCCGCAGCTTGGAAACCGTACCTTTAGTGTCAGTTTTTCAAAACTATATGGACCCAGACACCCAGTGGCCAGTACCCACCCACCAATTGTAGGTGGTGCAAATGCACCACCTTAAGTACGTGTTCTGCGCCACTGCTGCCTAACCATCATCCTAGACGATCGCGTTCTGTGATTGGCCCGTGGCCGACCGTGTCGTCGCCGAGTGGTATATCGTATATTATTATGTAATATGTAATATGTTATTACTTATTATGTTTTTCCATGCGTTTTGCACTTTTGTGTTTGCCGTTTTGACTTTTGTTTTATAGTGACTATACTCGCGTAACTACTAGGTCCTATAACAGTTTATAATACTCATTAGCCTAGCCAATACGCACTTGTTTTTGCGACTTTCAAGTAAGTATACCTTAGACATTGATTATTATTATAAAACAGAAAGCGGTTTGCCATGGTGTACGGGGCACGGTGTCCGCACGGACAGACCACTTTGTGTTTGACTGAGCCTTAAAGGACATCACAACACTACATACAAGTTTGCTTATGTTTAATGTATATCATTATATAAGAAATATGGTGTGGGTCTCACACTTCAACACTAATTATTCAATGAGATACATGCGTTTGAAAATATTATACGTGTAACGTACTACCGTCGTAAAGGTCGAAGTCGGAACGGCGGCGTATATGTTTTACGTGTACAAGTGTTGTAGATTAACACAACAATATTTCAATCGTTAAACATTTTTTTTAGATTTTTGGACTACATTATAATTCACCAATAAACTTAAAATTAAAAAATTAAAAATAAAGTGTTGTGATGTCTTTTTTATAATAGAATATTTGTAAATACCTAGGTACCTACACTTTAAAAGTTGTAAGCTAAAATGTATACCTAATATATTTTTTGGCAAGAGTCCAGATATTCAAATTATTTAATTGCAATTAAAAGTTAAACTGTGTAATTTATTCAAATTTCATACATTTAATTAATTTTTCTTTCTGTTGATGTAAATATTATATTAATAAAGTAGAGGTACCTATAAACTTCCAACATTTAAAAAGTATTTGTAGGTATATATTTATGGTTTTATAACAAAACTAAGTAGGTAGGTATTTGGTATTATAGTCATTTTAATCTTGGTTGAAAGTAATGAACAGCAAACATATACTCTGGGATATAATGTATAAAATATAATATAATATGCTATTTTATAATTTGTTTTGTTATTCAACTAAATATTGAGACAAAAAAATTAAGAATAGGTGGGCACTAGGCACCTACCTACTATTCAAAATCACAACACTTAGTTGTATAGGTATTGTATATAAGATTTTGTAAAATTTAATTTATAATTCTTAGTTTAATTGAGTAGGTAGGTAACTGAATGATAGGAACTATATATTGTCAATTATGTATTATACAGACTGTTCGAAATGCAATCTGAGAGAACTTTACGACGGAAAATTAAAAAAGAATTGGATTCTTTACAAATGTTACATTCAAATAGTGACAGTATTGAAGTTGAAAAAATAGCTGATACTTCTCATGATACGCCTTCAATCAGCACAAGTGATTTGTCTCAAACGACTCAAACAGTAACAATTGGCTGCCA